ATCGCGTTCGATGGCGTCTGTTGTTACGTACCATGGCAGGCCAGCAACCTTGCGTGCTGCCTTGGCTTGGACCACTCTTATGCGACGGAGCTGGTGTGCTGATGCCGTGCCCCAAACTTGGATCGCATATGTCCAGATAGGCGTTACCATCGTTTTGATAAGCAGTGTCTTCGTGGATATGTGCAGCTTGCTTTGAGGCTTTAGTAGCCAATCGAGCTTTTGAAGTCTTCTCAGGCATTTTGCTCTCGTTGCTGCGATGTGAGGCCCCCATATGAGCCTTCGATCCAGGTGGACACCCAAGTAGCAGAAAGAGTTGGTCTGCTCAATGGTTCGTCCATCGAACCGTAGCCCCTGGCAGCTGTATGGGCGCAGCGTAAAAGTGACGCAGGCGGACTTGGCACAGTTTATAGCGATGTTCCACATAGCTGTCCAGGTTTCGATCTGCAGCAGCCAGTCCTGCACTGCACTTGTAGCAGCTTGCAGATTTTTGTGGGAGGCTAGGAAGGCAGTGTCGTCCGCATATGTTGCCACCAGCAGTCTCGCAGGGCTGAGGTCTTCATTGCTTTGTCCTTGTGTGGGCAGGTCCGCCGTATACAGCGTGTACAGCATCGGACCGAGGACGCTGCCTTGTGGGACACCTGCTCTGATGCCCTTAATTGCCGACCTTTGGTCTTTAACGGCCACTTTAAAGGTGCGTCCTGCCAGAAAGGAGCTAAGGATGCTGAAGTATGGCGCTGGGAGTATCAGTTTGATCTTGAACAGAAGACCATCGTGCCAGACCTTGTCAAACGCTTGTTTGACATCGAGGAAAACGCCGACGCAGTATTGCTTCTGCTCAAAAGCTTCTAGTACGTGTTTTACTGCCCGGTGGACCTGCTCGGGGCAGCCGTGAGACTTTCTGAAGCCAAACTGATGATCCGGGACCAGGCGCGTGACCTCGTCGAGTTCTAAGAGACGGCTTAGCAGAAGTCGCTCAAAGACTTTTGAGAGCGTCGGCAGAAGGCTTATAGGGCGGTAGGACTCAAGTTGAGTTAGCGGCTTACCGGGTTTGGCGATCATCACAATTTTCGCATGTTTCCATTGCTTCGGAAAGTGGCCAAGGCGGAGCATGGAGTTGAAAATTGTGGCGAGCGCCATGACTCCTTTGCGTGGGAGAGCCTTAGCTGCTCTGTTGTCGATTTCGTCGCATCCTGGGGTCTTCTTTAGCTCAAGCATTTTCAGCTGTGTCCCGATTTCCGCGGGGGAGATGCTTCTTATCGGGAGAGCCATCTGCAGTGGAGCGTCCAGTGACTCGGCTACTTTACGGCGCTGTGCAACGTCTGCGAAGTCGAATGGCTTGAAGGTTGTCTCCAAGTAGTCAGCAAACGCGTTGGCCTTTTCCTCGTCCGATCGGAGCCAGAGGCCAGAGTGGTCCGTGATCGGGGAGGTAAAAACTGGTTGCCTCTTAATGCTTCTGGTGAGCTTCCACACTGAAAAGGTGCTGTTGCCGTCATGCCCAGTTGTTTCGAGGAAGCTGTCTAGATTTTCCGTTCGAGTCCTAGCCAGCAGTCGTCTGAGCCGGTTGGACGCGCTTACCATTTCTGCCTTGGTAGAGAGGTCTCCGTTGCGGATGTACAGCCTCCTTAGACGTCTTTTGTCGGCAAGGAGACTCCTGGCTTCAGGGCTTAGTAGGGACCTTCTGAAGGTACGAGAGTGAGGCAGGGTTTGCGGGGCTGCACGTCTAGCAGCTTCCGTAATTTTCGCTGTGAGGTGGTCAACGTAGCTCTCCAGTTCACTTGCCGTATTTATGGTGACGTTGAGCTCTAATGTGTCCTCGAGGCAGGCCCGGTATACTCCCAAGTTAGAGCGCGGCGGGAGCATTTTGCGGATTCCAACTTCCCACTTGGGAGTCTCCTCGAGCTCAATCAGTAATGGGAGGTGATCCGACGTCAGGTCAAGGAGGCTTCGTATTCGCAGCTGTTCCTGTCTGAATCCCTTGTAGAGCCCGAAGTCAAGTGCACTTGGTGTTGCAGTAGCCCTATATGGGTAGCACGTTGCCTCTCCAGTGGCTATGACTTCGATGCCTTCATTCTCAATGGCAGAGAAGAGCGTTCTCCCTCGGGGGCACATGCGGTAGTTTCCCCACCAGCGATGTTTGGCGTTCCAGTCTCCTCCTGCCAGGAATTTGGGGCCAAGCTGGTCGAAAAGGGCTCGAAAGTGTGCCTCAGTCACTCTCAAGGCCGGAGGGCAGTATACAGAGGCGAGATTGAAGTCGCCTCTGCTGGATCCGAGTCGGATAGCAGCAGCTTGCATATGCCAGTGGCAGGATGACTCAAGTGAGTGGTGCGACAAGGACGACCTGATCAATATTGCTGCTCCTCCATGTTGGCTGTTATCTGGGTGGTTGGCGGTGTGGAGAGTGTAGCCTGGCACTCTGAGGGTGATTCGAGAGCAGAAGTGAGTCTCCGTGAGCAGAAACACATCGATGTGGTGGAGTTCGATGAAGGCTGTGATCTCATTCGCCTTCGAAAAGACTCCGTTGGCGTTCCATAGTGCTATCCTGAGGGAGCTCATTTTAGGCACTGTTATTTTTGGCGCTAGTGTGCATTAGCGCTTGTAAAAGAGTCTGTATGAGAGACATCAGTTGGTCGAATCTGGCGAACATTTGCTTCATCATGAGCTCAAGGGCTGAGTTGGGGCAGTTGTCGGCAACAGGTTGCGATTGGCTGGGAGTACTGCCAGTGTTCCTTCTGCGAGACGATGAGCGGGCACTGCGCTCTGCGGGCTGGGTACCGCGGAGGACGCTGGCAAAGGATTGTTGGCCAGGCACGAAGCTGCAGGCAGGAGCGGCTGTTTTGGGGCGGGGATCTCTGGAGCGGCTTGCATCTCTGCCATTTGCCTTGTGCTGGTTTTTCTGCTGGAAAGCATATTGCAGGTACTTCTTGCAGCCTTTGAAGTTTGCTGCGTGTGCTTCTCCACAGTGGTGACAACACCGATTCTCGTCCTTGCCAAGTGTGCACTCGTTGCTTGGATGGTTGTCCCCACACTCCTTGCACACATAGTGTCTCGAGCAGTAAGATTTTGTGTGCCCGTACTCTTGGCATCTGTTGCATTGTACAGGGCCCGACGTCTTGCGAGGCTTCTCCCACGAAACTTTGTGCCTGCATAGTACTGTTATTGATTTGACAAGGTTATTGTTCTCCGCTTTCCTCAGGTCAACAAATCTCATATTTAGAGGTTCGTTATTGACTCTGCTACGCGGGGTATATATGCGGACAACGTGGTGCCCCTTTTCTGCCAATTGCGCTGAAATATCTTCGGATGCGACCTCGTGGTGGATATTTCGTAGAACTATGCGGTACGGCCGGTCTTCTGCAAGCTGGTGGTGGTGAAACAGGCAGCCGTTCTCGCGAAGGTGCCTTGCCAGCGTTCGGTATTCGTCTGAGTTGCGGCATTGGACGATGCAGTCGCCAGAATTAAGCGATCTGACGGTGTAAGTGTCCGCGCCTAGGACGCTGTCTAGTTCCTTGCAGAACTTGGTGAAACTGAGGACGTTTGGCACAGTTATTCTCGGCACCTTAGAGGCAGGCCGCTCATTGGGAGGCGCCGTCTGGGTGGGTTGCGGGTGTGCGGCAAGCTTTTTATTTGCCGTTTGTTGCCTGCTGGCCCTTGCGCGAGCTGCGTGCGAGGTGGATGGCCTATCATCTACATCCTCGTCGGCGCAAGCTTCCTTGTTGGTGGCTAGTTCTACTTCCGTGTCCATGTCGCTTTCCTCTTCGTCACAGAGGGCCGCAAACCGGTTTTGGCTGGCTTTCTTGGTTTCGGTGGTGCTCGCCTTCTTACGGGCGATACGGGGGGAGAGATTGCCACCTTCTCTTTTTGTGGCCTTAAACCATTGACCTTGCCAAGTACGTGAAGTCTTGGGCGGGTAATTATTCAAAAACGCGTGGAGATCCGGGCTTGTAGCAGGATTCGCGCCAGGAATGGACGGGATTGCGGGGCCTTGGGAGCTGATGCCATGTGCGAGGGACGACGTTACCGTAGTCGTTCCTAGGGAGCAGGCAGTTGTGGTGATGCACGACGTGGTGAGTAGCGTAGTACCCCCGCACAGCGTGATGTATGGCGGTAGCACATTATCCGACGGGTTGTATATAGGTGACGCAGGATAGTCGGGGATGAGTGGATTCGGCTTGTTGGACGCCATTAGGTGAGATGTTGACCAAAATTTACTAGCTGCACTTATTTACAAAAATCTCCAGTATTTTTGTGAAAAGTGACTTTGGTGAACGGGGAGCGAAAACGGTGACTGGAAAGTGTCAGCACTGTCACGGTCAGTGACTGACTTGCCAGCACTGATTGTTCTCCTATTGGCTAGTGCTTTACTTGTGTTAGTGAGTCTAGGCAAAAGCTCTCTCGCGAAAGCTCTGCTCACTCACACGCACTCACACACACTACAGCTGAGTTAAGGCGATCAGCTGAGCGCAGTTTGAGCTTAGCAAAAGCTTGCTCTCTTACGCTCGCACGCGGTTGCACTTTTGTGTAAAAAAAAAATTTAAATGTTTATATATGTTTATATATATATATAGTTTAGCTGCCAGAGGCAGCACAATTGTTTTTTTTTCGCGCTCTGCAGGCGCGATTTGTTTGTTAAGCCCTGGGGCGGGCTTAGTTAGTGTCACTGTCACTTTTGGTTTGTTTTTTGCCTGGGATGCACTGAACATACACACGCACGGGAATGCACAGAAAACACGACCGATCTCCGCGGAAGTTCAAGGCGAATTGGTAACATGTCTATAAGTCTTTATGTCTATATCAATATCTATATCTATATCTACATCTATATCTTTATCTATCTCTCAGTCATCCTTGTGTTTACCTATTACTATCGATATACCCCTGGATTCCTTTTGAGCACACCTCGTTCATAGCGTATGCTAAAGCTAATAGCGACATCTTAACGGGCATTGGAAGTGCATCCCCGTGTGCTGGTTAACTTTCAATTAACGTCACGTTTTACGTACCTGCGCACTTTTCACTCGATGCAGATGGAGCGTGCCGCCGGTGATGACCCCCGCGGTGGTCGCCTTGGCATGCATTGGCGCTGAATTTATGACGTACTGCGTCTGCGGCTGCTGCTGCTTGGCCAGAGCTGGAGCTGTAGCTGAAACTGGCTGCGGTTTGGCCGACAATGTTGTCTGTGTTTTTGCAACATTCCTAATTGAGTTTTCTGGTACTCGGTTTTCACTTTGGCAGTCCATTGAAGGCAATGCCGTCTCGTGTTGCTGTGGCTTTTGCTGTTGTGCAATGGACATGCTCGTAATTAGCTGCTTGGCAATTGAGATTTGGATTGCGAGGGCAATATATCTTGTTTCTAACACCACATCGATTAGACGAAATGTATCTCAAAGATACGGGCATGCAAATTCACTTTTTATCGCCGCCGCGAATGAAACGTACTTTTTCGAATTTTTCCGGTTTCCGGATTCCGGATTTTGTTGCTACGTTTTGCACGGCACGCGAGTCCAACTGTAACTAAAACGCGCTTGCCGCATGCCGAGTGCCGAGTGGAGCTGCGTCCTTCGGATGGTGGTTGCTACCCGTGCAGCAGGGTGTTAACTTTATCTGGCATTTATCTAACGACAGACTCAGGGGAAATTCACAAGGAGTCGACACGTGAGCTGCCGCCGATAAGCAGCAGCAGCAGCCGGAACAAACGCACTAACTAGCTGGAGATTGGGTTTGCAAGCTCCCAGAACTTCCATTAAAAATTAACAAGTATTCATAGAGCTAATTAAAAGAAAATTGATTAGAAAAGGCACGCACTGATTCGCAGAGATGATAAACAGAAGTCTCAGTAGGACAACAAGCCGGTTCAAACCCATGGCTTCTATGTTTACCATGAGTCAAAAATTGATACAATTCCAATTGTGTTAAAATACAAGAATTGGTTTAAATAGTGCGACCTTAGATTTTGATGGGTTAGATACATATTCTTTGAAATATTAAACAGGCAAACACAACCACAATATTTATACCCTGTAAATGGGTAAATAGGGTATTGGGTATAGTGGGTGCAATAGACAGAAAAAGTTGAAACTAATGCAAACTGCAGTTGAAGTTGATAGAATAAGGTTCAGGGTATCCCCTAGCCGGACACACCCTACTAGATCACTCTCACATGGTTTATCGAGTCACACATGGAGTTACAGTTCCAATTCCCAGCATTCTATAGCATTGAAGAATACATCGACTAGATTTAATAGACTCGACATTGAAACTAAAACTAAAACTAAATAATCAAAGATGGATCTCTTGTCGAATATGAGAAAAGATTCTGAGGGCGAGCGTAAATCGTTGAAGAAATCCGTGATTGTCGCTCCGGACATATTCGAAGAACCATCTGTGGCTAAAAAGAAACAACGGGAACAGCACACCTATGCCATGGAAATCAATACAGATATTGAGTACCGCGCACAATTTCGGGTGGGCTCTTATCAAAAATTTGAACATCCAGTTAATTGATTCCATTTGCCAGGTGCTGGACACAGTCGATGGCGAGGAGGTGGACCTGACGCCCAACTATATACCCGAATCGCCGTACACAGATCAGTTTCTCAAATTCAATATGCATCTCAAGCACGAAATGATCAGCATGCAACAGGTGCACTCCAGAGGCAGCACAGCCCGATCCCGGACACGTTCCAGCATGCGCGGCGGAGTCGGTGGCAACAAGCAGTCCATCGATGAGCTAATAAATGGCGTAAGCGACACACCTTTATTTAACTCTATTTGTCAGGGCTGCAAACTTCCGAAAAAAATACTAGTTAGGACGTTTTAGACGGGCGTGCTCGACTAGAAGATACTCTGAATCATGCGCCAAGCTTTAGTTGCAAACTTTCTAAGACTTTTTCCATGCTCTAAAACAATAAGACAAACACGCCATAGGCTTTCCATTACCCCACACTATTTATAAGAAAGGCAGCCTATTGTAACTTCAATGCTTGTCATCCGATTTTTACAAAATTTTCAGGGATAAAATATGGCATTCAAAAGTGTGTGTATACCAAAGCGCAAAGCGCTAGCTCTAAGAATTATATTGTTGATATATTTATGTAGAATGGAGGAAGATTGCCAAAAAATGAAATTTCCTTCATTTGCAGACATTTAACGAGAACTTACATACCAAGTCTGGCCTCGTTGTATATTAAAAACCGAAGTCCTAACATCGATATGATTTGGTATAAAAGAATGTATATTGCACACTGCGAAAGTCTTTTCCCTAGATCGAACTCAGTTTATCGCCTTGATATACCATCTCTCATTTATGGACTACTTCTCCATCTACCTTAGATTATGTATGAAACGATTCTGTTCGATCCGGGCAGCAGTATCGAGAAACCGGAGGATATGCACGTGCCCGTGCCCTTCAACAAGTCTTTCGTCAAGGTGACGTTGCGCAAGTCGGACTTCATCGAATTGCATTCACAGATTAGCAGCACCGTGGCCAAGGGCACAACCCAGGGCGATGCCGTCGAGGCGGACAATCGTCTCTATGATTACCTGACCATGGGCAAGGGCAAGGTGCGTCGTCGTTCCGACAACGATGCACAGACGGATCTGGTGCTGACCAACTCGCGGGCGGTGAACACCATATTCGTGGACTACGCCACGGTGGGCTCCTATGTATCCAATTTCGAGATGTACGACACAATGGAGGGCTTGAGCCAAAAGCAGAGCCGTATGCAAAGCACTCTGCACAGCCTGAGCAAGGGCACCGATGCGCAGCCGCAATTCGACGATGCCACGGTGACCGACTACTTTGGCGAAGAGGAGGCCAAGGAGCGGCACAAGGTGCAGTCGATGGCACAGCAGCTGTTCAAGAGTCCAGCATTCAAGAATGCGATACTGTTTATTGGACGCACACTCTCCAGCAATATGTACAGGTCGGGCATGCAGCGCTTTCGTAACTTCAAGCAGGTGGATCGCTGCTCCACGGATGTCGAGTACAAGTACTCAATGAAGGTGCTCTTTCGCCTGATCCCGATGCTCAGCCTGGACGAGCGAAAGGCGGTCAGCGATATTAGCTTTTGTCACACCAACAGCGACATTGTGGCCATTGGCTATGGCCTGTTCTCGTTCTCCTCGCAGCGTGTCCCAAGCACGGGGGATGTCTATGTGTGGAGCATCAAGAATCCCGGCGAACCGGAACGCGCCTATTACTATGACAAGCCGGTGACCGCCATTTGCTTCTCACCCTATCTGCCCTCCCTGATTGCCATTGGCATGTACGATGGCAGCGTCGAGGTGCGGGATGTCGCGGATGTCACGAATGTGCCCATTGCTGTGTCGCAGCGCGGCAGCTCATCGGGCTGCTCGCCCGTGGTGGCCATACGCTGGCTCAAGCAGGTCAGCGAGGATGATTCCGGTGAGATTGATCCGTTTCTTAGCCTCTCGCAGGACGGCTCGGTGACGCGCTATCGCCTCGGCAAGAGTCCTTTCCTCCTGGGCTTTACACAGATGACCCTCGAGCGCATCGAGGGCCATCCCGAGGGCATACACGTGCCCATAGCACCGACCATGACCGTCGCCGCCAACCGGCATCCCCAAGGCCTCTACATAACCACCCATCCGGTGCACAAGGACATCTACTATATTCTCACCGATGAGGGCTGCATCCACAAGTGTTCCATCAACTATCAGCATCAGTATCTGGAGGTGCTCAAGTGTCATGATGGTGGCGTTAATGTCATGGAGTTCTCGCCCTGGTCCCCCAAGCTGTTTCTCACCTGCGGCAACGATTGGTACACCTCTCCTCTCTCTCTCTCTCTCTCTCTCTCCCTTGCTTTGCTCACCTCCAATTTCCATTTGCCAGGTATGTTAGGATCTGGGTGGATGGCATTACACGACCCCTAATCGAGCTGCTGGACGATTTTCAGCCCATCCACTGGGCCAAGTGGAGTCCCACCCACTCCACAATTATTGTGGCCGTCAATCGGGATACTTGCAGCATTTGGGATCTTCGACGCAACATTCTAAAGCCCATGGGCAAGCATGAAACGGACTCCTCCTACAACACAATTGCCCAGTATACAAAGTTCTCTATATTCCATATTACTTTGTGACCTAATCTCTGCCTTCCACACAGATTCTCCAATAGCGGCACAGTCCTGGTGGTGGGCAATGAACGTGGCAATACCCTGTTCGAAGCCCTCAACGACATGCCCTTTGCCCCACATTTTCAATACGATGAATTGGAGAAGGCCATTTACAGGGCGATTGGCAACGATCAGGAATTGTTTATTGAGCTTAAGAGCATCGGATTCTTTGGCTATCCCAACAAGAAATGCATTAGAACTTAAAAGTTGCCATATATACACTGTCAGAGTTATAAGTAAATTAAATCTCAAATGAGGCTAAATTATGATTGCAGACAGAAGGTGGAAGTAGATAAATCCAAGCCAGTCTGATATACCACGTAAGGGAAAATCACAAGCCGGATCCCTTAAGGCAATATTGTTGCTGGTCAAAAAGCTATATATGGGATCAAAGTAGCTCCCACTGCCTGTTTCCTCATAATGCCCTTTAATTTGACCACTGTCTACTGCATATTTAAAGTTCAACAAGTAAGGCCCAGGTCATGAGAACTGCCATCAAAGTAAACTTGAACCGCAGCTCCGGGTTCAAGGTATGCGGTTCATTCTGACACCACAGACAAAGCTCAGAACTGTTGAGACCTCCGTAAATTTGCCGCTACTTATTTACACGCCTGAGCATTGTTATATAACGGTCAGGAATTGGATCAGTTGCCGGTCGATCAGTTCCGCGGCAACAGATCAAATTTCATCAGACCAACAGGTAACTCAAGACACAGCCAAGAGCATTACCTGTGCGGCAAATATGTGATGACCCTATGCGCTCAAGAGTTCTTGGGCTGTGTGTGAGGTTTAAATGTCAACCGACTGCTTTCGATGGTGGTCAATGTGTGGTTTCTCCGGGTGTTAAATAACAAATAAACACACTTGTGCACACATTAGCATACAAAGATGAAAAGCGCAGGCAGGGGAATTTATTAAACGGCCATCAAAATGAATAAAGAAAAGGAAAAAATAAACAAGAATGAGCCCCGATCAAACGCCAAACCGACAAGATAAACTCCGTGTTACAGTTTTTTCGATACCCTGTAATCATTGAAAGTGCTTCAAATATAAAGGGTAGCTTAAATCGAAGGTAATTTATGTAGCAGAAAAAGTAGATGACCTCTGATCCAATTAAGTTCCTCTTTAGAATTCATCAAATTTCCAGATAATCGATAAATATCAATTCTAAAATCAGTTTTTTTAAGAAAATCTCGAGGATTATTAAGGCTGCAGAAATTTGCTAGAGGGGTTTTGAATACCCTACCTGGGTCACCCTAAAAAATTGAAAATATACAAATATGAATGCTAGAGCCTTGTGGTCATATTTGAAGTCTGTAAATAGAATTAAGATCGGACTATAAGTACCAAAGTTATTTAAGAATACTTTTACAAAAATGTAAGTCTGAGGCAAGATGAGGCATATTTTGTGTGGCCATTTTTTTTCGCGTTATTTTCTAGTTAAAGAAAGGGTATCGCCTAGTCTCACACACCCGACCATCGTAGTTTTTTCCTACATTTTTTAGGCCACACTAGAAAAATAGAAATAAATGTCAAAATTTGTGGCCCATAAATAAACAAGCTGCAGGCTCAACGGGCTCCGAGGAGTGGACCACACCGTCGCATATGGCCGTAAATTACACAGCACATTCCAAACGAAACGGCGAGT